TGTATACGTACTCCCAACTGTGTCTGTATACATACTTCCAAATAATTAAATAATTTATCTTGCAACAGAACATAGGGAGGCACAACAGATGCAACGAAGCACGCAAATCTTGTCGCACGTTACTTATCGGATCCCGCTAGGCACAAACCCGATTAGCTCATATGGATAGAATCGAATGCCATATCATGGAGGGGAGTAACTACTCCCGGGAATATAAAAAATGCACCCTATATAGGGAAAAAATTCATATATATATATATATATATATATATATATATATATATATATATATATATATATATATATATAATAAAACAAATGACCGGTCTGGATTTTCTAATCTTAATCATTAGTAAATAAATTAAAAATTATTAGAACGATATTACATTATTACTTAATACTAATTATGACGAGTATTAGTTTGATATGAGCGCCCTCAACAGTTGTCGTAGTCGTTAGCATGTGTCAGACTTTGTCCAACGAGGAAGAAAGAGATCAGAAAGGAAAGAGACTAGTGAGCTGCAAAGTGATAGTCTCGCACGTATATCAATGAACACCGTGTCTTTGTTTCATCTCGCGTAGATTTACTCTTTATTTTTTAGTATCTCTTGCTGCCACATCAGCTGACGTTTTAGGATTGCTGTTGAGAACGCCGTGCTACTACGGTCATAGATGCAATGATTTGTGCGCCAATTAATGTAGTAGTAGATTAGTAGTGCTAATTGACATATTTTTTATTTTAGAGGCTTAAACGTTCATGTCTTTGTTTCGAAGCGAAATAGTAATTTTGCTTTATTTTTTAATCTTTAGGATTTTAGCCCTGCATTTTCAAATTGAAGAAATAGTTTTCTCTTATTTCGTGAAGTCCTCTTATTAACGGTACTAACTTTTGTTAAAAAAAAAGACAAGTTTAGTCGTGCGATTTTGCCCCTATTTTATTAGAGGTCTTATAATTCTACCCTTATTTTGGAATCAAATGTTTAGGCTATATTTTGACAGATTTGACAAGGATTTCAACAACAAACTTGAGACAATTTGTGTACATTTTAAATCTGGACGGAACTTGACACTTTTTTGACCGTGTCAACCAATTCAGAGCGAACACAGAGAGGCCATGGTGCAGCCCGGCCCCATGACATTGGGGCTGCCCTTGATCCCTAGCACCTTGTCGCTCCACTCGCCGGAGAAGATGTCAGTTTCAAGTTTCAGTGATCGCTGCACGCTCGCGAAGACACCGGCACCTTGGCCAGCACGACGTTGAAGCTCGGAATGGTAGAAGAATAAGTCATCTAGGGCCTGTTTGGTTCGAAGCATGGACAACTTGCATGGCAAAAAGTGTTGTTTGGGAGTTGCCTAAAAATTTGATGAAATCTGCCTGACCAGGCAAACTTGAGAATGGTCTGTTTGGTTGAAAGCCTGTGCCTAAGAAAGTTAACAGTAGAAAACTTTCTAACTTACATCTAATTGATTTTGTTACACACTTTGATTGTACCATTAAATGGTAATACATCAATTAATCTAGCAAGAAACATATTTGGATCAGATTTTTTTTCAAAATTTTTTGCGAAGTATTTAATCTAGTCATGTCAAAAAAAATTCAAGAAAATCATGATAAAGTTGTATAATATTGTGATGTGTATATATTCTAATATTCACATCGTCTAAAAGCTAACACAGGTTGTTTTATCTTCTATTTATACGTGTCTCCTTGTCTCCTAATCAAGATGGCGCATGGTCCCTAGCCCAGGCAATCACGCTGCAACGTCTTGGCAGTCGATTTCGATAGCCTGGCCACAGACAGCTGTTGCCTCGCATGCAACTTTTCTGGGCTCCAAGCAAACACGGTACAGGCAGGGTCCAAGCATCAGTTTTTTTTCAAACAATCTCAGCCCAGGCTTGTAACCAAACAAGCCACGTGCCACTACTGCGCGCGCAAGCCGCGTGCTGCCTTTCTCCGCGCCTGGCCTCGCGAGGTCATCCAACCGTCCTGTGTCTGTGTGTGCCCCAGCTCATCTACCCATCACACGAGCCTAGCTGGCTGACCGCCACGCGCATCCACCGGGTGCCCGCCGGTTGAGCCCACCCGGCCGTGCGAGGGAGCGTTGCGCCGTCTCGGATTCTCAACCCGGCCGTTCCAGTCCTCCAGCCATCCAGCGCCTGTTAAATTCCTTGACGAAGCTGCGTGCAGAGTTCCTCTCTCTTCTTCGAGCTTCGACCGACGACGTGCCTCTCCTTCCCAAACAAGCGCAGAGCTCTGCCAACAAATAGGATGCTCCTGAAGCTCTTTCACTGGCCTACGCTGTTATTTTGCTGAGCAACTCTAGCTAGCTATGTTATTAGCTTTTTTTAGCATTCTCGTAGAAACATTAGTGCACGTGGGACCTGCTTTTGTGACCTACAGCTTGCTTGGGATGTATCCAGTCGTTTGTGATGTCCTGGACTCTGATTTTGCGCTGCTTGAAAGAGCGGGTTAACGTCTTGTCGTGTATTAGGATCCACTTGTCTTTAAACTTTGTTACCTACCATGAAAACGGAGAAAGCGTGTCCATTTCCTTTTGCTCCCACCGCCGCTCTACCGTCCTCGCCTATCCGCGCTTGTCCATCCACCATTGGCCGGCTGTGGCCGTTGTCGAGCAACGATTGGTTCAAGGACGCCGGGCCCAGTGGCAGCGACAGGCCGTCCACTCCCTAGCAAAATTGCTTCTCTCCCAGCGTCCATTCCGCCCCCTTCCTCTACGCCCAATCTAGCCAGGAGGTCCCACCGTCAGCCAGCGGGCCCTCATATCAGCGTCGTACAGCCTGTTCGTTTGGTCGTAAACGATCATAAATTTCCAGCCGGAACAGTGTTTTTCTCTCACGCCAAACCAGCCAACAATAAATAATCCACGATCGTTTACGACGAACAGGCTGCACGGACCACGACACGACGTCAATAAAGAAGTCGTCCGACTCTTCTCTCCGTCTTCCCTTCCGTTCTCCCTAGCGCCACGGGTAGGTCTACTTCCTCTCGCCGCCGTCTCTTTCTCCTCATTTTCTATGACCGTCTATCGACCCTTCCTGAAACATACCTCCCCGCACATGTCCCCGCTTGTTGTATGCAGATCCTGAGGGCTGGTCAGGAAGACGTCGGAGTCTGTGCTGTCTAGGACTGTGCAGGTGCTCCACCGTAGGTACTCTCCGCCCCTCCTAACACCTCCAGTCGCTCCGCTCTGCCTGTCCTTACACATCTTCTTAGTCTCTCTTAGCGATACTATGCTTCGGTATTTCACGAGCTCGGTGTGTGTACCTAACTTTCAGGTTCCAAGATTTGCTTTGCATCTCGTCGCTTTCCGACAGATCTCAAAGAACCCCACCAAGTTTCGGTCTACTAACAATGCTCCATTCTTAGTTAGAGAGTAGAAACATAGCTACATAAATGTGACGTTCCTATCTCCAAACTTTACTGTTGTTTGGAAAATATAGGCCGGCCGTGGTTTTCCTGGACTTTCTGTCATCCAGCCAAACGCCACGACAGAAGCAACAGAAGCATAGCTTGTCAACGCAGTAGTTGCTTTAGATGTCAACCCAAACACTGCAAATCCTAGCATTAGCGATGTCTGGCTTGCTATCGAGAACCAGTTTGGATCCGATGCCTTGCCTGTTGCCATAACACGCTACTGCTCCGATTTTGTGATTCGTTTTGCCTCCAGCCATGAGAGAGACCTTGTTGCATCGTCCGAAGTCCTCTATGGCAAGGATTTCGACACGCTGCTTGTCAGATGGTCAAACCGATATAGCGCCAGGACTGTCGACTGGCAGCCCGAGGTAGCTATAGACATTGATGGCTTTCCGCCGCATGCATTCAATCCAAGTGCCTTAGGACCCTTGCTTGAGCGCCACTGCAGCATCCAGGCTCATAACTTCAATGAGTCTTTTTTTTCTCGAATACGTAAGAGCATTACGTATCATTGTATTAAGAAGGTAAAAGTTTAAAATACAATAGAGACCGTTCCCGGCCCGACGGTTACCTCAAAGGGACTATATTTTGAATATGACAACCTTGGGATCCATTGGGATCAACCTAGACTACGATCTAGCTAAAGTACCAGACCGCGCTGCTCCACTAGCCATCGCCCTGGATGCTGGGAACAGCGCATCAAGTGCCTCGACGTTTGCTTCTGATAGGGTGCCCTGGAAGTACGAATCGTACGAACGCTTGGCTGCAGAGGAAATCGGTGCTGAAGGTGCCAGGATCCCCATCTTCTTCATGAGCAGCACTTCGCCATGTTTGGACGCGGGGCTGTGGTCCATCTGCTGAGCAGCAATCCGTCTACTCCTAGTAGGCAGAGTAGTCTGCTTTGGTGCCGGCTTTTGCTTAGGCGGGGAGTTGATGAGAGGTGGCTGTCTCATTACCTGGACCTCCTCAGTGAACCTAGACAGTCGCTTGGCAGCCTCCCTCGGTGTGGACGTGCCTTCAGCGACCAGCTCGTTGGTTGCCTGAACGATGCCCATTGCCGTGCCATCAGCCGCCTCAGCTTGCGGTCCGGCATCCATGCACTGGGCCGAAAGCACAGCCGTGCCTTCGATGGTGAGGACGGTGGGACCTCCATCCCCTCCTGGTCGCCAGATGCGCCGGCGTGATCAGCCTGTCCCGCCGTGGTTGGCGCTGTCTGCACGTTGAACGTAGCAACCAATACTTCCCCCGTGGTCGTGACATGCGTTGTTGCCGCGCCAGCTTCTAGTACCAAGGCCGGCGCCGTGACTACTTGTTCGACCCGTCCCTTGGTTGTGACTGCTTCTGGCTCCATGGCTCGGTCCGTAGCGGCATGTTCCGCCGGTCCCGGGGTCACGTTCACGGGCACGGAGTTGGCGGCACCCACATCACCCAGGACCATCTCTTCATGGGTGGCTGACCCCGTTTGGTCCTCCTTGCTGCAGGGTTCATGGCAGCTGTCTGGACTGCTTTGAGAAGCTGTCCCGCTGAGGAGCCCTGCCTCAAGGACCATGGGATCCGAGGCCGGCTATCCTCCGGCGCTTCCGTTGCAGTCTTGTGGCCGGATAAATTTGAACTGGCACTCGGCGCTGTCTTGCTCCCTGCTTGTCTCATCTGCAGCCGCACAGGGGTTACACTGCGAGACCGGATCAGGGCGGCCTGGTTGGGTATCTTGCTTTACAGTTGTACCGTGCTGGAAGGATAGGTGAGGCCCACTGACGTTGAACGTAGGACCGATGAACGCGCCGCTTCCGTTGTTGACGGCCGGCTGCTCCCCGTCGATGGTTCCCCGGTGGCATCGGAATCCCTGAATGCGCGTTGCTGTTCCCCTGGAGAAGTGATGGCGGTCAGGGTTCCCGTCGTGGCCGCTGTCGCCGTCATCCGACTCCGGCGGCGATGGTGATGGGGAAGGGTTATCCGGGTCAAAGTCCGTGACATGGCGTAAGTGCACGAGCACCCGGTAGCTGAGGACGTCCTTCTTCCTTAGGTACGGCGGCAGGTTGCCGAAGGTGGGGTTGGCCGCGGCACCGACATGGATGATCTCGTTCTCGGCGATGTGGAGCCAGACCACCTTGGGGATGGCCCTGGGGTCGCATGTCCAGGCTGATAACTTGAATGCCGAAAGATCCGCCTTGGACAACTATTGCTCGTCGACGGTGTGGATCCAGCAGCTCGGCGCAAGAATCTTCGCCACTGTGTCCTCAGCCCAAGCATGGGGTGGAATACTTTCGAGCTCGATTGCCACCTTGAATTTCATGGTCCCAGTCACGCCGTGGGAGAGCCGCGTCCATGGGCGAAGCATGAGCCACATGCTGGGGACAGGCACCGGGAATGCCCCTAGGATTCGGTCCTAGGCTGCTTGCGATCTGCACTGAATGAGGAAGTGCTCGGGGTAGAACAGCGTGACGGAGAACGAGGAGCCCTCTTCGACGCCCTGGATGGTGCGCAGTGCACGGGTGGCGTTGGCGGTGGAGACATCGCAGGTCGCATCCGCGGCCATGGCGGTGATGACGAAACGCAACCCTGCCTCGGTCTCGTCGATGGCTGCGCTGTGCTGAATGATGCACGCGCTTTCCCACTGCCGCTCCTCGGGGTGGCCGGGCGGCAGTGGGTCCCGATCCATGGGCACCGGACTGCCAGCGGATGCCTACGGCGGGCTGTTGGGCGGTGTCGTGCCGGTGGCCTGGGAACTCACCGGGGTGTCATCGATCGTTAGGTTGTCTGGCGTCGCTACACCACCCGCCTCAGGTGTGTCGGCGCTGTTTGGACCCCACCGCGCCCTGACGAAGCAGTCCGGCGCAGCGCTGCGTCTTCCGCCGTTGACCGGATACCTCGGCCTCTTGCAGTCTCTGGCGAAGTGATGGTATCCGTGGCAGTGGAGGCATCGCAGCGGGCGCGCGGCAGCTGGCGATCCGATGGTTGGGGGAGAGGCAGTTCAGGCATTTGTCCCGTATCTCGTCGGGGGTCTTTCGCCGATGATGCTGAGGACGGGGAGGAGGTGCGTTCCTCGCGGTCGACGCCGTCGTTGTCGTTGTTGGCTCGGGGGAGCACCTCCCTCCAACCGTCTACGTCCGGCGACGAGATCCGGCGGTGACCCTGTGGCGGGACTCGAGGGCCAAGGCAGTTGTGCACCGGTGCCCGGTCGTTGTGGATGCGTCGTCCCAGTCGCTGGGTAGCAGGCCCCGGCCGATGTCGCGACCGAGGTTGTCGACGCGCCTTCCCAACCGCTGCGTGGCCGTGATGCGCCGCCGCTCCTGAGGCAGGTCAGCCATGGGTGCTGGTTGCCGAGGCTTCAGAGGTCTCCTCTTGCGCTTCCCTCGCTTGCAATGTGGTGGGCGGCGCCGTTCCTCCTCCTACGGGATCTCCGCCGTCTGCTCTGCGACGGCACAGGCGTGCGGCTGGGCGCTTGTCCCTGTCTCCATGTCTGCCCATGACGGAGAGCCCCGGCGGACGACCTCAAGATAGGAGGGTCACGACGGCTACGCGGACTTGGCGTCGGAGTCCGAGAAGTCGGAATAGTCAGATTCCGAGGACCACCGCATGGCCTTGGATCTTCCTGGGGTGCCGGAGGGGAAGAAGGGCGCTGCGTGAGGTGAGAGGGTGGCGGGTCCGCTACCTTCCGGAGCGGCCAAGGAGGGGTGGGTGACCAGCGGCGCCTGGGTGGCGTTCGACGGCCTAGAGGGGTTGGTGTGGTGGGTGGCCGGCGGTGCCTGGGCGACGGGCGGCGAGCTGGCTGGGTTGGGGGCAGAGGCTAGGTGGGGGGAAAGGCTCTCCATCTCTCTCGTCCGGCTGCCCTTGTAGTGGACGGCCTCGGCCATGGCGGCCGGTGTCGAGGATCACATGGTGAGAGGGTGGCGGGTCCGCTACCTTCCGGAGTGGCCAAGGATGCTCAATGTTTTTTCACTTCAATGAGTCTAAAGGCGTATGATGTGTCGATGCATACGCACTTAACAAAGACTCTATCCCAAAGTCTGGTGAGGTCGGTTTACAATACACAGGCCCGCACGGGGTGACCAACGTGGTGTTTCCTGTCACGATGGCAACCTACAACTATTCCGAGGCACCAGCGTTTGTAGAGAACGAGGTCCATGCCAATCCAGCTAACTTTGGCTCAACTGGTTCTGTCGCATCCTTTGACACAGATGATAATCATATATTCCACCTTTGATAGCACTGACACCATATTTCATTACTGCCTTTTTCTATTGCCTTATCTTCACCGTTGTTTCATCCACTATTTGAATTAGCCGAGGAACTTGGCTACGACAGGGAAGTGCTTCAAGAAGCCTATGCTTGGCAGCATAGAGGTACTATTCATAACACATTAAGCGTTTGGTGTCTTAGCGGTTTAGTCATAATGCTTATGTATGACTTGCAGCCAATAGAAGGCTTGAACGTGCAGGATACCACGGATATGCATCGGACAGCAGCTCTTCCTCCTGTAGCGTTTCCTCTGACGAGCCTTTCTACCCGCCACGAGGTACATCAGCAGCTACACCTCTGCTTTTCTAGCTGTGTGCTTCCCCTAACATGATACACACTAACATCTATACATGCAAACTCTCAGATTATTTACCCGCTCGTAGCTTTGAGTCAGATCGGAGCTGGCACCTCAACTGAAGCTGCCAAGATCGGTAAAGTTGGCGCCCCTTCCTTCGGTCTTCTATCTAAGCATGCGCTGCTATGGTTTTAACCACGTCTAGCATGTTGTATTAGACTGCCTCTCAAACTATATTTCATTGCCAACCTGGCCTGGCACTTTTATGTATAATTATGTAAGACACCTATCATCCCACCGTGGCTTTACCTCCTAGAGCATTTAGATGCTGTCTGGACAACCTCCATGTCCCATGTAATATGTGCTGCCTGTTTTATTGTTCACTGTTTGTTCAAAAAAAAAATGTGTTTGATCATTACTCGCGCCCATGGGCGCGCGCAAATGACTAGTACATATACAAGTGGCTTCAGCAGAGCGGATATCTCAAGTCGCTACCACTAGCAATTCTTTGCTGACAAACAACATGACAATAGCACAGAACAGTGACTACTTTACTGGCAGTGGCAGTGCTCATGAAAGACGGAAGAAACGTCCAGAGCTGGACAGGGGCAAGACTGTGCTGAATTGAAAACTGATTGACGAAACCACAAAACGATGCCAGTGGCTTCAATCTGACCAGCACTAAAGCACCATCAAACGATACAGTGTGGTACTCCAACCGTACAAGCGTCCAGCACTCTGGTCAGGTTTTCCTCGCTAGGAAAAAAGACTAGCCAAACACCACGGGAAAAAAAACTTCTCATTCTCCACGGCTCAGCTCACGTGTGCACCTGCACCGTGCAACGCCAGCATTCCCCTCATGTACTGAGTCCTAGTCGTCCTGTACATCTCAAGCAAAGTCTCAAAGGTCTCGCGTGCGTCCTCGTACACGACGCGCTGGCAAAACCCTGACTTGAAGGCTGTGAAGCCATCCAGGGCCTGGTCAGGGTTAGAGTTGAACGCCTCAAGCAGCTCTTCGAGGGCTCCGAAAATATTGCAGAAATCGATTATGTCAACTCCTTGCTGAGGCAGGTGCCGCAGCCAGCTCATCCACTGGAAGGCTTCGTCGTCTCGCTCTTTCACTGCCAACGTGATGCGCTTCAGTGCTTCCTTGATGCTGCAGTTCTGATCGATCTTCCTCAGTATCTCATCGAAAGTTGACCTCTGGTTGCTTCGAAAAGCCTTCAAGTGAGTCGTTGTACAGGAACTGGATGGTCCAAACTTTGCCGCAACCATGCACGCCTTCCTGAAAATAGGATCACTGTCTGAGAGCAACCTGATGGCCACATGCAGCACAATAGCAGATAAGGAAGTTTCTACTTTCCCCTTGAACTCGACAAGTTGAGAATCTCTAAGCTGCTGCTTCTCTGTCCAACAATGAAGGGCGATATGTGCAAAACCTTCCCACCTGCAGCAAAGGTAATGTTTAGACTTTAGAAGCAGAATCTCTAGACATGCACAGCAAGAATTCCATATTAAATACAAAGAATACTTACTCAAAGGGTGGCTCGACCTCAATAGCAAGGGTCAAATGGAGTGAGTAATCAGCATATGCATTCACCTCTGATCCACCGACATCAGTGCGAGCCTCGTGAACATAACCTCTGGGGATGTACATCATGTCCCCTTCAAGCAAAACCTCCACTCTTCCACTGTTCTCATATAAAGTGCCATCTAAAGGGTCAAAAGGTTCATATAGTCTAGGCAAAAATGGCTTTTGATTAGGCCAAATCATCCATTTCTTGCTACCAAGTAGCTGCCAAACAAGTACACAGTGATCGTCATAGTGTCGGGCCAGGCCTTGAGATCTTGCAGGTGAGAAGTATATGTTGGCTCCTACAGAAGGCTGCCCAAATAGATCAGCCAGTGCAGAAGCTATAGCAGCAACCTTTTCAGACCGGAACTCCATGCCACGCAAGGCAATCGAATAACCATTCTTAAAGGCATGCTTACATTTTTCGATGAATGCATCTTCATCTATGAAGACTGTTCCATCATCGAAAAAATGCTCCTCTGTCACACATCCACTTGAGGTTTGGTCATTTGGATCTTGTGTTCTCATGACTCTAATGTCTTGCCTGTACTTTGCAGAATCACCCAAGGAATCATGAACCTCATGGAGAAATGAATTTATGTCAAGTTCATCAGAAGCGATAGCGGGGCAAGAAACAAGACCCTTTATTAATGATTCAATGATAGGATCAGGTGCTGTTCCAAGATTAAAAGTACTGTGCAGTGCAGCAAACACAGGACTACCCTTTTGAGTGCTTTGTTTCCTCCTGTACAAATTAGGCGACTTTTCCCAGTAGGCCAGGACAAAAGTTTCAAAGTCGGACACTGTTTGGCCAAAAATACTTTCCCTGACCACATCAGGCTCTGGGCAGGCTGGAGAAGCAAGACCAATCGAAAGCCTGAAAATAGCTTCAGACATCTCATATTCTTTACTCTGAAGTTTATTCTTCCATTTGTTGCAATCAGTTGAAGATCTCAAGAGTTGAGTTCTCTTCCAGATTTTGTACAACAAAGACAGAACGTTCCTTACTAGCTCCTGATGTAGATTCTGCAAATTGTCAATCTTACAAGAATTTACCAGGAGCACCACTGTGTCAATGATCAAGCACAGGATTTTATTTGCTTCTGTAGGACTTTCTGGGCACTCAATGCTTCTGCTATGTGCAAATCCATAAACAGATTCCACCTGACAAAATAGATGCCTACAAGAAGTCAATTTCACATTTTCACCTGCTGAAGACATTCAGAAAGTACAAACATAATGCATCCCTTTCATCAATAGAAAAAGATTGTGATGGCTGCCTTCTAGTTACAGATGAAATGGCTACCTTTACCAGATTATGACTATGATATACCATGCACTTACAATATAATTCGTTGTCAGTAGCTTAAGGTATACCACATGGCTCAATTAACTTTTGCTAATGCAAGGAATTTTATTAGTCAAGTGTCATGTCTAGTAGCAGTATGCATAATCAGAACTACCATACGAAAACTAGCTAGTACATGAACAAAAAATCAAGGTTCTAGCACACACAAATTTGGATTTTGTGTCTAAGTTGAGAGACGAAATCATATCAAACAGCAAGCAAAACGTGCTTTCAAGTACAGTACAACCAAACAAAGGGTACGTGATGTGGATGCTTACAATGTCCTGGGCAGAACAGGTGAGCCTGCAAGTCGCTCCCTACCGACTGAAGACGCCGAGAGATCCAATATAGAATTACAGGCAGCCTCAATCACTCTCTGGCTTCTACTTCCCAGCGTCCTCGCCAGGCCGCTGGCAATGCCAGTGTCGGACGCCAGCATCTCGCCGGTCTCCATGGACCGCAGCGCTGCCGCGCCGAGCACCTCGCAGCTCAGCGCGGCGACAGAAGAGCAGCTGCAATCCACATTCCAGCACAGTATCAGCACTCAGAAGGGCATGGATGCAAGGCGCAGGGAGGCGGAGTTTGTGACGTACGCACTCGTACCCACCTGGAGGAGAGGAGGAGGGGGAGGAGCGCGACGAGGGACCTCGGGAGAGGGGAGAGCGTCTGCGGCGAGCGGGAGAGCACACAGCGCAGGAGGCGGGCCGCGAGCGCAGCGGGCGGGGAGGAGGAGCTGCCAGTTTGGCGGGTGGTTCGGACGGCGGCGAGGAGGACGGGGAAGACGTCGCGGTCGAAGGAGGCGGAGGAGGGCGAGGGCACACAGGCGGCGGCCCTTTCATCGCCGCGCCTCTTCCTCTTTCTCCTCTTCCTGTTCCGATTCATGGCGTTCGGCGGGTACACGCCCAGGGCGAACGCGGACCCACCGCTACAGCAAGGTGGGGCGGCCGGCGGCGCTAGACCCTCCTCACCCGCAGCGCTCAGGCTTGGCGCGGCCGTCTGGACCGATAGCCGCCGATGCCGATGCCGTGACGAACGAGAAGCCGAGAACCCAAGAAGCTTCTTGCCTGTTGCTTCGGCAGTTGGGCTAGGCAGCAACATTTGGCCCAGCTACTGGCCCAATTGACATGAAGTCCCTTCCGCTCTGTCCGTGCCTCTGTCTCTGTGAGACAGACTGACTGATTGTTTTTCTGACGTTGAACAGGAGGGGAGCACCCCTACTGGTGATTTATTAAAAAGAGCTTAAAAGTAAGTACAATAAAATAAAGTGAAGTACAAAAAAAAGGACAGAGGGGGTTCAAGAGACAAAGAAAGAAAGACTGACTGATTGTGAGTCTGTGCAAGTGTGTATTGTGTTCTTGCCTCTGCGACTCTGCTCTATGTGGCTCAGTTCATTGCCAATTGCAATCGAAGAAGACCGACTGAAGCTTGGTAATAGCACATTCTCAAATTTAAGTGCTATTTTAATGTTCTCTTTCCGATATAGTAGAAATTCCAATGATTAATTAATTATAAAAATTAATTGATTATATCTTTTTTTAGAGTTGCACAATGAAGAGATAAGGGCGAACCAAACCATTATTAGTTAGGTATTTTCATGTTTCCATCAATTATACTATGGATTTAAGTATGGAATTATGATATTACCTATACTTATGCATTTATAAGCTAGTTTAGTTACCTATCGTTATTAGAACCGGTACGGGCTGTATTTTGACCCTACATGGATGATATATAGTCTTTTATAGTGGCTCTAGGGGTTTAAATTGACGAGCTCCTCCAACTGCCCTGGCGTGCATCTCCACGTCACAGTGACCCAACGAAGGATTGTAGAATTGGAGTCTGATTGATTGTTTGTATTTGTTTATATATTAAAATCTTATACAACATACATTATCAAAAAAAATCTTATACAGCATACTCTAAGCCAGTATAATTGTATGTAGTGTTACGTCCCGAAATTTCTATTTGGTACTACAAAGTGTATTCTTTTGACAAGAAGATGTTAATTCATTGTTTGTTCGTATTAGTCTGCGTTAAACCTTATACAATGTAATCTAAATCAGCGTACTAGTGTCATATGCCCTGAAATTTCTTTTTGGTACTATAAAGGGTATGCTTTTGACAAGATGAGTGGCAGCGTACTAAAATCAACTGGAGTAGGTGAAGCTGAGCATCGTTCCAAAGGGCACGTTGCAGTAAATTAGTCTGGATTAACAGCTCGAGCTGATCATCAAAGGTGGGCAGTTGAGATATGGCACCTCATTAGTCACTAAACTAGTACCAAATTGGTTGTACTATATGCTAATGTCGTGAACTTTAGCAATCATCACTGTGATGGCCTGTTCTCCATGCTTACTCTTTGCAAAGCTGGATCTGAATTCTGAACGAGTACAGTGAGCACATCTACACCACCCCAGCGCCTTGGCCTCCCATGCGAGAATGCCTTGGCCTCCCGTACCCCGTTCGTATGCCCTTAAATCTGGCTTAATCCACTTACTTTTTCATCCGGAACAGTGTTTTTCTCTTACAAATTCCTTCAGCGTTCCTCCAAACCATCCAGATTCCTCCAGAATTCAGACAAGCGAACAGGTATATGAAGACCTCCTCAACTCAGTGCTCTCAATGAACATGTCTCCTGCTCTCCTGAGTCCTGATTATGCCTTCCCCGTCTTCTCGAGTCCAAAATCTTCGACCTTTTGGGTTCTTGAATAGTGATTCCATTTTACTTTTCGCAAAAAGAAAAGGAGTCTATATATTTTACTTGACGCTTTTGTTTTTCTTATGTGCTGTTTCTTGAAGTTTGTTTGAGGTTTAATTTGTCACAGCCATTGGAGGACAATGATGGAAACAACGAAGGCCCTGTTTGGGAACGCTTATGTGAGAATCGATTTTAATCTGTTTAGGATTTTCTGATAAGCTACGATCTAAAGAATCCGCTGTATAAACAATTGAGAGTGTTTGGCAATCCTGATTATTGCCCATAGATTGTCGGTCCTAAATGTAAAATGACCTGTATGCCCTTGAGGCTGATGACACCTCATTTGTTCACTGAATACAAGCTAAAGACAGTTATGGTACTAATTTTTTGTATAGCCCAAACTATTCAAGCAATGTCCAGGCCAACCGTGGGCAAGAACTTCTTCCACACAAATGTCGTTGAAGGCCTTGGCAGCAAAAGCATCCCATTTTGCCTGAACTTTTGCTGACTTGTCCATTTAAAATCTCCACGAACTAATAAATATGTAAAACACAAGCATTCAGCATCTGCACGTACTATGTCCCTAACCATGCCATGCATATATAATTCGTCCATTTGCAATACAAATCAAACCCACAATCCACACATCGGTAAAGACAAGTACCTGAATAGATCTTGGACAAGGGATGGTTGAACCAGCACCAGCTTGAGACCTTTAGTCGGAGCAGAAGAAAGGTCGGAGCAGAGGAAAGGGCGACGGGGAGCACGAACGGAGCCGGACTCCACCGAATGGAGAGATGCGGTCGCCTCCGAGGAAGATGACGGGGAGAGGGCTAGCTACCAACCGAGTAGCGGGAGCGGCGCCACGAACGTCACCGACGAGCGGACAGGGAAGGGCGGCGCAACCCAAGGCGGCGGCGGCTGAAAGGTCCTTGTGTGGTTTTTGTAATTGAGTGACAACCTAGGTGGACTAATTGTGTTTATGTGAGATACACAGGAGATTAGTCCACAGGGTACATGTGTGTGAGCAACATATGCCATGAAGATAGAAATGGCTCGGAGATGTTGCAAAGCTCACATATGTGATGATGAAGGAGCTCATTGCACATGAGACATGACATTGAGACATGACATATGTGATGATGTGGATCAACTCGGTAAAGAAAAGGAGGTGAAATAGGTCACTGAAAGTGACCGGACTCTACGCAGCGCAGCGATCGGACGCTGGCTAGCGAGTCCGGTCATGTGTTCCTGAGGAGGCGCGGTTTCGGTAATGTGACCGACGCGGCCGGCCTCGGCAGACCCGCGTGTCCGGTCAATGGCAGCAGTTGGGCACGGTCTTGGTCAACTGATCAGACGCTGCACGGTAAGAGTGACCAGACGCGCAGGGCATGCGCCCGGTCGCGTGTGACGTATGATGACGTAGGCGACGCTAGAGTTGGCGCGCGGGCGTAGAGCTGATCGAACGCTGGTCTGCGTCCGGTCATGGTGGACCGGACGTGTCCGATCGCTTTTCAGAGGCTCGGGGACCTCTCTGGAAATGATCGGACTCTGGCTGGTGTGCGTTCAGTCGTACAGGAGCGGACGCGTCCGATCGCAAAACAGAGGCTCAGGGAGCTCTCTGGAAATGACCGAACTTAGGTGTAGCAGTGTTCGGTCATCCTTGTGGTGCGTCCGATCGCAAAACAGAGGCTCAGGGAGCTCTCTAGAAACAACCGGACTCAGGCGTAGCAGCGCCCGATCATCCTCATGGTGCATCCGGCCGTAACTTAACCGTTGAGATCGAGCGCTCAGCATTTGAAGCCAGGGATGATGTGGCAGCCATCTGTTGACCGGACGCTGGCCGGGTGCGTCCGGTCGATCCGACCGGCGCTTCCGGTCACCCTGAGTTTTGCCCAGTGAAGGGGTAACGGCTAGTTTAGCCCGTGGGGCTATAAATAGAAGGGGTCTCGGCCATGGCATAGGTAGAGCACCTTGGGGGACTTTGTGTCTATGCTTAAGAGTGCTTTGGAGCCCTCCATCTCACATATGCTTGATAGTGATCATCCGATTGTGTGAGAGAGCGATTCTAGTACGATTGCATCGTGAGGTTGCATCGAGTGGCACTAGGTGGTCGTCTTGCAAGCCGGTGGTGCTTGTTACTCTTGGAGGTTGTCACCTCCTAGATGGCTTGGTGGTGGTCTCCGTCGAAGCCCGCAAGAAGCTTGTGCGGTGCTCCGGAGAAGAGCTTTTGTGAGGGGCATTGTGCTCGTCTCGCGGGAGCCACGAAGAGCAACTCTAGTAGAGCGAGACGCGAAGGGCGACAAGTGGTCCGGCCGGGTCAAGTGCTAGAGCTTGTGGTAAGCACTCCACATGGGAGAGTGTGACATGCGGGTCACCACTAGCAAGAGGACCGGCGGCAGCCTTGGAGCTTGTCTCAACGGGGACTAGCGTGTTGGCAAGCACTTGAACCTCAGGATAAAAATCACCTTATCATCCTTGTCTTTCCGTTGGTTTGCATCCTCGTTACACAAGCTTGTATTTACTTCATTTATATTGTGCTTGTTGAAAGGTCCTAATGGCTAGAGGGGGGTGAATAGCCTAATAAAATTCTACAACAACACTTAACAAAATGTGTTAGACAATTTTGCGGCGAAGCGAGTGTTGCGCTAGCCTACTAAAATGCAAGCCACCTACCACAATTCTATTTCGAATAGTGTATGTCCACACAATAGCTATGACACTTAGCTAAAATTAGTGTGCTCTCAAAGACTAACTAAAGAGCAACACTAATCAAACAAACAAGCTCTCACAACTAGCTACACTAAAGAGCTTGATAACTAGTTTGCGGTAATGTAAGAGTGAGCAAGAGAGTTATACCGCCGTGTAGTGGTAGGAACCAATCAATCACAATAATGAATACCAATGTAGACCAATCACCTCGGAATCAAATGATGAACACAATGATTTTTACCGAGGTTCACTTGCTTGCCGGCAAGCTAGTTCTCGTTGTGGCGATTCACTCACTTGGAGGTTCACGCGCTGATTGGCATCACTCGCCAAACCCTCAATAGGGTGCCGCACAATCAACACAAGATAAGGATCACACAATCCACAAGCAATTTACTAGAGTACCTTTTGGCGCTCCGCCGGGGAAAGGTCAAGAACCCCTCACAATCACCACGATCGGAGTCAGAGACAATCA